ACCTTAGAGTCACGCAGCATAGATCGGTGAATCAATATTGGAAGGAATGACGCTCCATAAATATTTGTGTTATCTACGTCTCCTTTACAGGAAGCTTCTGGCAGGTTACAGACTTTCATTTTGACAAAACGTACCAGTCCCCCACAGAGCCTGGGAAGATATGTAATTCCCAGACCCCAAACAGTGAGACGCCTACCCATGCTGGCAAATGGGGTGACTATCTTTGTGATTCCCCGTGGAGACTTATAAACTCATCAGTATTTGCAATGAAAAGCATCGAGCCAAATCCGGATTTCATCATTTGGACAGGGTAAGCTATTTAAAAGATCTCAGTGGGGTTAACCATCAGCCCTGAGACGGCAAAAACATTTTGCAGTTGGATGAATTTTAACCGTTAATGGTAAAATAAAAAATAAAAATATTTACCCGTAAAATATTTCTGTTAACTATGACGGAAGGAAATTTACTGTAAGTCGTAAAATGGCCAAACTTTAACCGTTCGCCGTAATAGCTATCGATCCAGACTTTCTTCTTACTTCGAAAAGCAATCCTTCCTGGTAGGTAACCGTAATGAGGTCGGGATAATTTTGTGAACTGGGCACCCTGATAGATATGCAGTGTGTTTTTAAAAAGCAAGGACAAAACGTGATCATTTAGAAAAGGTTCCGAAAGGTTTGAGTTCTCATGGGAATTGTGGTATTTGAGTTCGGTTACTAGCTCGCCAGATCTCAGTCAGTGAGACGAAGAAACAAACAGGCGACAGGAAATCGACAACGTTTTTCTCTGGAAAATGACGCGTAGAGTGCAAGAGAGTCCTACCTTCCAATTGACTGCTTGAAACAGACTATTTGGTACTCGTATCCTCTCCTCCATTAATCTGGCAGCAAATAATCGGAAAGAGGTCCGCAGCTTCTCCAGCGATGTTAGACCCTTCCTACCTTTTCACAAAATGATATACAATGACTAGTCTCGTAGCCAGACCTTCCACGGCCAAGCGGTTGTAAGCCCACATTTCAGTTACACGGTAGGATCTGGGTACGAGATT